CAGGGGCGTTGGCTGGGGGGACCCGCTCACAGGTCTTACTGTCCTATTTCCCTAGTTTCCAGCACCCCACACATGCACTGTGTCTGCACTCTGGTGCAGATGGCTAGGGCTGGCTGTTTAGCAGTCCTGTGCTCCCTCTCCGTCCCCTCTCCGACTCCTCTCCTTCTGCTGGGAGCTGGGGTGAGGGGTGCTCGGGTCCCGCTGGGCCACGGCTTGTATCTTACCCCTTTCGCGAGTTGCTGGGTTCTCGCAGGTGTGGATGTAGTCTGGCTGCTGTCCTGTATCTTCTGGTCTCTCTTTTAGGAAGAGTTGTCTTTGTTGTATTTTCAAAAATATATGTGGTTTTGGGAAATTTCCGCTGCTCTACTCAAGCCACCATCTTGGCTCCGCCCTTTTCCGATATTAATAATCTTATATTCTGGTCATCAGTACATTTAGATTGAAAAGTTTAAATTTTACTTGAATTGTGATTATTTTCTTCAGCAGAGAAATCTGCTTCTCAGGGAGGAAGAAAGATTTCTTTCAGTGTAAAATCTTTTATTTTCTAAATTATATCTTAATTTTATTTCTTTATCATAAATGTACATCACAGTGGTTCAACAGTCCCCCTTCCCCCTCCCCCTTGGTAACCACTAGTCACTTCTCTGTGTCTATGAGTCTAATGCTGTTTTGTTCCTTCTGTAAAACCCTGTATTTTCAAATAAATGTTACAGATGCCATGAGAACCATATGCCAGGTAATTTAGTCAGATTCATTTAAAACCCATTTTTACCCCAGATAAAACTGTCTGACTTTTGGCCTACTGTGTCCTAAGACAGAAATGGTTATAAATGTCTGTCTGAAATTGGGCTAAACATTCTGAATGGCTTTCATTTAGTTTGCTTCACCTGGAAAGGTGTGCTTTTCCCTTAGAATGAAGCAAGGACAGAAGCACCTGGTAGCAGGTTCCAGTCACCAGATATGGTCAGGACTCCACAGGCTTTGACAGAAGACCACCCATGTGACAAGCGCCACGTGAGGGGCCAGAAGCAAGCCTCACCTGCCTTTCCAAACACCCCTGAACATTAGTGATTTGTGTCTCCTTTCTTTCAGTGTAATACATCTTACTAGGATCTCTTAATAAACCAGGCTGCAGATTGGAATTATGGAATCTTAGGATCTTAGGATCTAGGGCTTCTGGAATATGCAGGAACCTTCTAGATTAGTTGTTTTACTAAGCAATATGTTCTCAAAGCCCATTTCCTAGGTGAATTCTGGATGTGTTAAACTTGTACACAAAGAAGTATCAACTGGTTTAGGATATATGCTCATGGGGAGAACTTAAAGAACCGCTTTTCAAATAGCATTTTTCATGTGAATTACCCTGAATATATACAAGGCATCTCCAGCCCAACTGACCCTGTTTTCAGTCAAACGGGTTCATCCCACATGTTGGTGGGGCGGGCTCGTGGGCAGGGAAGGGCACAATGTGCTATCAGGCTGCTTGGATGCTGACTCCAGACAAAAGTTTAACTAAAACCAAATGGACACAGAACTCTAGCTGGAATTCAGAAACCTAGAAGCTGTACTTTGGAGCCTATTATACTTATTAAAGACAAATTTTGGAGAATATAATATTCCATCCAAATGGGTAAATCCTAAGCATGGGGCCAGGTCCCAGGGATAGAGCAATCAGCAACAGTTCAGACATGGTCCATTATGTACATGCTTACAGTCTGGGGAGAGCGCTGGACACAAATAACTATCTATTAGAATTTGGGGACTCTTCAAGATATCAGCAAGGAGGCAAACAAGCACAGTCTGCAGACTTCTCTCCCAAATGCAACCTCAGAGAAGAGAGAAGTGAACTGCTGATTAGAAAGAGACTGAACAAAATTACCTAGAACTGAACAATGAAAAGGGTGCCTCTGAAACTGTTTATCTCTAAGATATTTATTGAAAAATAAGAAATAAAACCAATAAGCTAAATGTAAGAAGCTGAAAAGAGTAAGAACACAATTCAATGAAATAAGTAGAAAAATAAGGAATTAATGAAAAAATATGATTAAGAAATATGTGAGGCAAAATCATAGATTATCATAAAAATGGTAAAGACAGAAACAACATAAAAGGGGGAAATAATACTGAGAGATAATCAGAGACTATGCCCAACCCGAAGGCCCCAAGCCTACAGAATCTGAGAGATAAGTCCTGCCCAGCTTTGGAGAAACAATCACACCCAGACTTTTAATGGCTCCATAAAGCAAAAGTGGAAAAACTGCTCAGTCATTTATTGAAGCTACCATAACACTGACTCCTACCTTACATATAAAATAAAAGATTATAGTCCTATTTAAATTATATATATGGGTACAAAAATTCAAATTAAAATATCAGCTAATTAAATCTAACAGTACAGAAAAATACACTGTAATCAAATAAGGCTTTACTTGGGAATGCAAGGATGGCTTAACATCACAAAACATCAATGTAATTCAGCAGAAGACAAATCTATGATTTAAAAAAGTCTTCAAATCTAAGAATATTGACTCAAAAATGTATCTTTAGCTCAAGCCTCTACTTCAAACTTCAACTTGTATATCCAATTGCCACTCTCTACTCAATGTCTGAAGGCATTTCAAGCTTAATGCCCAATGCCAACCTGTTCCAAACACTTCTATCCATCTTACTAGTAATTCCATCTACTTGCTTAGACCAAACACCTTACAATGAACCGAGTCTTTCTCACTTACCCTGCATACGACCTTCTGACAAATCCAGCTGGCTCTACCTTAAAAATATATCCCAAATCCAAACACTTCCCACTGTTACTACAAAGGTCAGGTCACCATCATGTTTTGCATGGAGCACTGCAACCATTCCCCAACTGGGCTATGTGTTTCTGAACTTGCCACCATGTAATCTTTTTTTTTCCCCAAGCCAAGGTAGTTTTGCTTAGACATAAATTCAGTTACATCACGCTATCCTTTTGCTTAGAACCAAGCCAAGGCTTCCTACCTGAGCCATGTTCTTGTCATGGCCTATGAGGCCTTACAGGCCCCAGTTCCTGTTACCTAGCCCTGATCTTCCACAAGGTGCCCCAGAACCCCCTCTTGCCACACCAGCTTCCCTGCTATTTCATTTTCTACTCTATCTAGACAACTGCATGAGTTGCTCCCACACCTCCTTTTTGTACATTTGGTAGGAGGTGCCTGTGGAGTCCTCTAAGATATCATGTAAGCCATTGGACGTGAGACCTGGAGCTGTAAAGACTGGGACCAACTGGAGATACAAATGTGAGCTGTCTACATACAGATGTCATGAAATGAAGAGGAGCTCCGGGTGTGGAAGAAGGCACTTCTCCAAGAAGATAACAAAGAAAAGAGGACCAGGGACCAAGCCTGAAGACAAGAATGTTAACACCTTCAGAAGAGACCAGGATGAAGCAATTTCAAGAGGCAGAAAAGGCAGAAACTCCCCAGAACTGTGGTGTTAACAGAGTCCAAGGAAAGAAAGCTGTAAAAAGGCCCTGCTGGAGACTGGTGGGTTGAGTATGATGAGATCTGAAGACTGTCCACTGGATTTAGCAGCACAGGTGGTCTTTGGTGACTGCCATGGCGACTGTCTGGATGATGTTCAAGAGTAGAGGTGGACATCAACAGTGTCAAGTGTGAACAAGAGGTGAGAGTGTGGAGAAAGCACAAACAGCTTTGGAGAAGATGAGCTGCAAAGAGAAGCAGAGAGGACAAGCTGCTGGGGGAAGGTGGGTCATGGGGCAGAGGGACTTAAGGCAAGGGAGGGAAGTGTACTCAAGAGCTAATCAAGTGACTCAAGAAAGGATGACAAAGGAGAGGGCCAGCAAAGTGCTGTACCTTGAGAAGAAGAGCCTCAATGGCTGAAGGAGCATTTCTCTGGCTGGTACACGAGGGAAGACACACTCAGATACCTGTAAGGGAAAACAAGGGAGCTCCCAAATGACAGCATGAGGCGAGGCTGTCAGTGACACGTGGGTGGAGTGAGAGCAGGACTCTGGCTGGGAGAGAAGGAAAGATGTGAGGGGGTGGGGAAGCACATGGAGGGCTGGGCTCAGAGTGAGCACCCTGGCACCACTAGACAGAAGGAGGGGCCTGCCGGGGGGCTATTCCCAAGTTCACAGTGACTCCAGTGTGCTGGGTTGTGTCGGTGTATTAATATTTCATAAATCAACGGAGCTGAAACCAACACAAATAACTCTCTCCATCATAAATCATGCAAGAGCTTCTATTACCATCACGCAGACACACCCAGAATCTGCATTATTTCGGCCCTGACTTCATCTGGAACAGCTGTGCACTGCTCATTGCCAGTTGTCCTTCTAACAAAAGTCTTTACTTTCCATCCCTGGCAATAGAGAGAGGGCTTTTGTGAACAAAAGGACAGAAGGACATGTTTCCCCTTGGGGAAGGCAGCAAGAAACAGCCTGAGCAGCCGGAGTTCATCTTCTGTAACACCAGAAGTCTGGCTGAAAATGTTGCCAACCTCAATTTTTCTCTTAATGTTAGAGGTAGCTTAAAGAAATACTCTTGTGTAGTTAAACAAACAAAACACTCAAGGTTCGCCTCAATTTCACTTGTTTTTCTTGTATTAAAGCACTAGACAGTATGGACATAGCATATAATTATGTCCTTTTATCCTTGTAGATTTGGAGATATTCTCCAATATTTATGCTGGTCAGCATGTTGGCTATTTGCTATTTTCATCTTTGTACCTTTTGTACTGCTATGGTATTTTATTAATGAGCCTGTATCATTTTTAGAAAAACAAAGTCATAGTTCTTTAAAATAGTGGCAAAATGGATGTTCTGGTTTCACATACACAGAAAAATCTGAGTGAACTGAATTTTTGGTTCCTTAGTTGTAATGAAGTCAAACTAATCCAACTAAAAAATGTACTCAAAACCAAAGAAGTGACATCAAAAATCTTTCGTCAGTTGTTTAAATGTGGCACAGGTAAGCCTGAAGTTGCAAACATGTAAAACTTACCCTTGTAAAGCTTTATGAATTCGTTTGCACTTTTCCATCAACATCGCAAAAATCCCTAAATGAGAAAAAAAAGCATTTGATAGTTTGTCTGGAAATTTGATATTAACCTAAAAATATTTTTAAAGAGCCAGGTCATGTATTTAAAATGCTACAAATCCTTTCACATCCTAGAAAGTCACAAATAGTCGGCCAGGAGCTTCTCCGATGGCCCTGCGCTCCTCTCTCTCACACTAACTGACACCACCCCACCCACTTTCAGCAAAACCTGGCATGAGGTTTTCCCAAAGCCAAACAATGGCTCCTATTCTTACTGAGATTCTAGAAATAATCTGGCGAAGAATAAAAGGGTCTACATAAACTACTTATTTTGGAAATCTTAATCTGGTAAAAAAACAGACCCTGTAGTAATGTTTACAATCTTTTCTTTGATATTTTCACATATTAGAAAGTTCAAAAACTAAAATATCTGAGCAGAAGGTAGGAGTGCCAGGTCTTCTGAAAGCAAGCACGTGCATGTGCTCGTGTTCACAGAAATGCTTGTATTTCCTAATTCTCGTAGTTAAAACGTGGAAAATGTATAAATTTAAAACATTTAATATTTATAAATAGCAGGTAATGCCTGCTTTTCCATTTCCAGTCTAGACTTTGGTGAGGAGGGGCTGTCACAGCCAAAAGGTACCATTTACATTTCGTCGACTCTGCTAGTTAGGTATTTTCAGTGGCTGGTGAGCCAGGTTTGGCCTCAGCCCCAGCTACAGACTTGAAGGCTAACAGGGAAAAGGCGGCAGCAGGCGTGAGCCACATGCACCAACAGCATGACAGCCGCCCCGAGCCTGCCCTCCTCCTGGCGTCTCTGCTCAGCACCAAGCTGGCCCTGCTTTGGCTCCACCCTGGGAACAGGAGGGCAGCGCTACACTGGATCCCTCAGGCAGGGGCAACTTCACTGTCTTCTTGCTGTTAAGGCCGCGTGATGTAATTCGGAGCCGGAGCTTTGTTGGGGAAATAATTTTGTCCAGCTAGTTCCTCCCAAAGCACACCAGTACCTGGCCAACGCAGCCTGCAACATCTTTGTTCTCCGGGGATTGAAAGGCCATACCTGGGCTCTCCTCCATGATGTTGAGGGCCTCAATGGCAGCAGCGGCTAGCAGCGGAGGCAGGGAGGCTGAGAAGCAGTATCCCTGGCCAGAAAGTCGCTGAGAAGAAACAACATGCCAAAAACCTAAGCACATCTCTTTTTCACTTTCATTAAGAAATCTAAAGGTGCCAAATCTCTACACCACCTACCAAATAGTGTGTAGAAAGGGGAAGGGGAAGGTGCTGAGATCCAGGCATGTGTAAAAGTTACACATGTAACAAAAGCAGGACTTCTTTTCAGAAGGGAGATAATTTCTAAATCTAAGTATGTTGAGTGATTCTTTTTAAATAAAAATTGTGTAATACACTAAGTTGGTATGAAATTTTGTGATTAGAAATTACATTTTGGGGTGACCAATGACATAATTACAGTAGGCCCTTGAACAACACAGGCTGGAACTGCATGGGCCCATTTAACATATGGATTTGTTTTGATAAACATATTGGAAAATATTCTGGAGATGTACGACAACTTAAAAAAGCATTTTATTTTCTCTACCTTTATTTTCAGAACATGGTATGTAACATATACATATGTAATACATACAATGTACAAAATATGTCAATCAATATATTCACGCTTATTGGTAAGGCTTCTTGGTCAACAGCAGGCTATTAACTATACTTGGATTTTCGGCTGTCTGTGGGGGTCAGTGCCCCTAATGCCTCCAGTGTTCAAAGGGTCACCTACAGTTTCAGCTTTTGCTTTTGTTTTTATAAACAACCCACCTGATGGTCAATTACAAAAGACCTGCCACAGCAGAAACCCCCAATAGAAGCAAGCGAATTCTCCATATTGGCACTGATAAGATCAATATCATCAATCTGCCAGAAAAGAGGGATGGTGGTAGTTAAACCTCAATTTAAACAGAAAATACATTCTAACATCATGCTTAGAGATGAAACATCAGCACTAATCATGTCAACATCTGGATTCAAACACCGACATGAAAATAAAAGACAAATCATACGATACCCACAGGTGGAAGGACTGACATACTGGAGCCCAACTCTCAGTGTCTCACCTCACACTGATTAGCTGTTTCATCATGCACTGATGATTTATGCAGCGGCAGAGAGGGAGAAATTAAAAGATGAAATCAAAGCTGGGTGATACTAAAAATATTGAGGGGTATAAAGATAATTTCCTTGCTCGAATGGTGGTCTGCTGGCCTTCTCTGTAGAAGCTACTTGAGATAAATAAAAAGAACTCTATCAGAGTTTTTAGAACTTTATCCTTATATCTAATTTATCTTTCATCTTTTCAAAAATAAAATCAATTTATCCAAACAGCATAGCAATTAATTCTTTGACCAAACTGGACCAATTGGGCAGTGGAAGACCCTATGTGCCCATGGGCTGCTGAGTGCCACTGTCTTCCCAACTCCTCAGTAACTCTCTGACCTCATGATGTGCTCCAGCCCCAGGCACCACGTTCCACTCTGGGTACAAGCAGCTGTTCCACACTCACTCACCGCTGGCTCTGACAGTGACTGGTCAGATCATGTCTCGTGTTTCCTAAGTGGTCCCCAGACCCAGCAAGAACACCTGGCACACCTTTTTTCTTTTGACCTTTTATTATGAAAAATCTTAAACACATACAAAAAAGTAGAACAGAATTAAGAATCCTCATCACAGGATTCAACAATTATCAACTCATGAAAAATCTTGTTCTCTGTATAGCCTCCTCATCATTTCTTTGGAGCAGATCCCAGATTTCACAGCTTCCTCTACAAATATTTCAGTCTACATTTCTAAAAGATATGGGTCCTTTCAAAAACATAATCACAAAACAATTACCACTCGCCACCAAACGGAAAATATTGATCAAATACTCAGTGTTCAAGGATCTCTGTCTCAAAAAGCTTGCTTTTTACACTATTTTCTGAATCAGAATACAAATGAGGTCCACACATTCTTCTTCTTATTCAAGCCCTCGTAAATATTATCTCCATGAAAGCAGTTAGAAAACCAAAATAGTGAGGCTAGATAGTACCTTTTCCTTCTTTAGGATTTTCAGGCCTTAAAAATTGCTCTTGTGTAAATCTTGCTGTTTCTATTCATCTGCAAATTCCTCAGTGCATTGAACTGCCAAATGTCAGTCTTTGAGGAGCACCTTCAGTCTAACTGTGTGGTGCTCACTCTGCCTATCCTTTTTTTCTAGCACTGTGTGCACAGTGGGATGAAGATAATCTAAGGTGATTTTAGGTTTTATAGTTCAACTTTTAAACACAAGTTGTAAAACTTTTGTGCACAGGATTTGGAGAGAAGCTTCCTTCCATTCAACCACCCAAGGTGCATGGAGTCAGGTTCTGTAAATAGGCTGATGCCGCTCCTTCCTGAGGCTCTGGGGGCAAAACCCATGAGACCAGGGGCAGATGGGGCTCACTTCCGCTGGCAGAAGACAATGTGACAAACTCACTTCTGTTCCCTGGGACCTTGAGGGGCTTTGCTGAAGCCACGCCAGTGGTGCTTCTGACACTATACATATAAAAAGAAGGCATGGTTCTATCATCCCCATACACAAATTACAGTGAATCCAGAATTTTGAGTATTAGAACATCCTTTCACTGCCATCATAAATACCTTCGAAAGGATTACCCAGGGAATTCTTACTGATTCTAAGGAAAACATGGAAGGCAAGTTTATTTCTAGAGAAGAGACACTGAAAGCCAAGAATAAATGTTACCAATTCTGTGGTCAGCCATGAGTTTACAGGTTCCAGGGGAATATGGGCTCCGGGTCAGCCTGACTGGCCCTCTGTGGGCTCAGGGAAGTGAGACACACAGGCTGCGTGGCCCTGCACATGGATGAGGATCACTGTCTTGCACCTATGCGGTCTACCCAGCAGGATGGAACCGCATGTTTTCTACATGAGGGAATGTTTGAAAAAGGAGAACTTACACTGATTCCAAAATGTTCTGTGACTCCTCGGCCATGCTCCCCAAGGACTCCAAATGAAAGGCTTTCTTCCAGAAAGATCCTTGCTTTGTATTTGTACTTTAACTTAACCTAAGTGGTAAATGAAACACAACATGAAACACCAGTGGTCAGCAGCATAAAAAACATATTGGGAAGAATAAAATTAAACCTAAAATAAAAAGGAGAAAAAACTAACATACAGCTAATCCTCAATATCGGTGGATTTTTATTTGTGAACTGCCTACTTACTGAAATTTATTTGTCACCCCCAAATCAATGCACAGGGTGCAGGACATAGGCGCAGAGCAGTGAAGATTCCCAGTCACTCAACATGCCCGTTCCCAGTTGAGCATGACAGGCCAGGGCCACAGCTCATACTGTAAACAGAGGTCCTGTTCACAGTCTATGGTTAACACATGTTTCACATTTTGTGCTTTTGTGGTGCTTCTTTCAAAGGGCCATAGCACAACACTGACTGTTGTCTTGTGTCCTAAGTGCAAAAAGGCTGTGTTGTGCCTCATGTCATACATGAGTTAGACAAGCTGCCTTCAGGCAGGACATACAGTGGGTGGGCTGTGAGTCACAATGTGAATGAACCAACACTACATGTTACATTAGGTGCCTCTGAACAGAAAACATGAAATAAGATTATGTATAGAGTGACTCATGAAAAATGAGACCAGAGGCTTACAGAAAACTCTCTGCCCTCCAAGCAGCATTTGGTAATTCAGTATTTGCAGGAGGTTTATAGAACAGAACTATACATATACATTATACAACATAACTACCATGATTGAAAATCTACTGTACTGTAGATGCTCTAACAAGATTAATTTAACTCAATAATACAGACATATAATAATGCCAATTGTGAACTGGAAGTGTTAAGGTACTGTAAGCATAGATACATAATCTATCTGTTAAGTACTGGTCTGATTAGACCTAAAAACTCATGGAGAACGTACATATTCTTCCCTCAGCAGCACTGTGCTCTAATTTGGATTCATGTCATTTCTAATGCAGAAAACGTTTACATTAGTGCATTTTTTCCTTTGCTTTCAGGCTTATGAGAGAGCCCTTTCCCATCAAAGGTTTAGATGCATACTTACTTATATGTTCTTCTAATTATTTCATGTTTTGTTTGTTTGTTTACACAGTGGGAAGCAGAACATATGCATGTTTGTGCACAGGTTTTTTCCCTAATATTTAATTGAGTTACTCCATATAATGTATGTGATCAGATTCACAACTGAATTGAAATACCATTCAATTATCAACCATTCGATTTTTCTATATATGACATGAGAAATTGGGCTCTCAAATTATCCTATAACTCGTTTTTTTACTTGTGCTACAATCATACTTATACTTATTAAAGGCTTAATTAACTAAGATCCTTTTCTATGGAAACTATAGAAATAATGCACAGAATGTGTAAGATGGTGCCCATGTCACCAATCTGTGAAAATTTATTTTTTAATCACCAAGATTTCATAGGCTAATTTTGGTAATCAATATCAAATTGGGAGAGGGAGAGCCCCCACTGGACTTTTAGCTGGTTTTCATAACAATGAATCAACTAATATGGGGAGATTATATCTTTTAACACTGCCTCTTTTCCATCTGTTAATATCAAACTATCATGAGATAGTTTCTAAAAATCATGTTTAGAAAATACTTAATACTGTGTCAGTACTGGTACACAAATTGACAAATCAGTAAAACAGGGATCCCAGGGTCAAACCCTTATTTGTATCCTGTGACCCTTACATACTCACTGCTTACGTCTACCTGAATTGCCCCTACACCTTATGTTTTGTTTCACTGCTTGGCTATACATCTGTCCATTAGCACTGCTTTACTATTATAGCCCTATACCATAGTTCTAGCATCTTCTGGCCCACTATCTCCCCGACATCATTTTATCAGTCTTTGATACTCACAGAAACAAGAGGAAAACAAAAACATATCTTTTATTGATATTTAAGGTGTATCTAGATTTCCTCAAGAAATAGTGAAAAACTTTAAAACTAAAACATGAAGCCTGTATTTTGAGTCCTAATTCAACTGATGGACTCATAGACTGAAATTTCAGTGGTAGAGTGCAAGGGTGGTTCAACGCAGGAAAATCAACCATATTAACAGAATGAAGGGAAACCACATGACCAACTCAACTGATGTGGAAAAAGCATCTGACAAAATCCAAAACTCTCATAAAAGCACTCAACAAATCAGGACTGGGAGGGAACTTCCTCAACCTGACAAAGGACAGCAGTGGGCAGCCCAAAGCTGACATTCTACTCAGTGGCGATGGCCTGGAAGTTCCCCTCTAAGACCAGGAACAAGGCGTGGATGCGCACTCTTGCCACTTCTCATCAACGCTGTACTGTGGAGTTCTAGCCAGAGCAACAAAGAAAGGAAAAAAAAAAGGCATCCATATTGGAAAGGAATAAGTAAAACTATCTCTATTCATAGGTATCATGATCTTACAGAGAGAGTAACATCCACAAAAATACTATTTTAGCTAATAAACAATTTTAGCAAAAATTGCATTACACAAGATGATCAATACACAAAAATCAGTTGTAGTTCAATAAACTAGCAGTAAATAATCCAAAAAGGAAGTTAAGAAAACAATTCCATGTACAATAGCATCAAAAATAATAAAACACTTAGGAATAAATTTAACTAAAGAGGTGTAAGACTTGTAGGGTGAGAACCATAAAATATTGTTAAAGGAAATAAAGATCTAAACACACGGAAACACATTCTGTGTTCCTGGATAAAAAGACTTAATACCTGTAAAATGGCAGTATTTTCCAGAGCAATCTACATATGCAGTACAATCCCTATCAAAATCCTAATGGCCATTTTTCACAGAAATGTAAAAGCTGATCCTAAAGTTCAAATGGAATTTCAAGGGACCCCAAATAACCAAAACAATCTTGAAAAAGAACAAAGATTGAAGTTGGACCCTCCCTCACAGAATATACAAAAGTTAAGTAAAAAATGGATCAAAGACCTAAAAATAAGACCTAAAACTACAAAACTATTACAGAAAACATAGGACATATATCTTCATGACCCTGGATTTGGCACCAAATTTCTTAGACAAGACACCAAAAGCAAAACAACAAAAAATTAGATAAACTTGATTTCATCAAAATGAAAAACTTTTGTGCATCAAAGGATACTATCAAAAAAAATGAAAACACCACCTATAGAATGGGAGAAAATATTTGCAAATCATGTATTGATAAGGATCTAATATCCAAAACATATAAAGAGCTCATAACTTAACAAAAAGATAAGCAAACCAATTTAGAAACGGGGAATGGACTTCTGTACACATTTTCCCAAAGATATACAAATGGCCAACAAACACAAGAAAAGAGGTTCAACATCATTAGTCACTTAAGGAAATGCAAACCAAAACCATATACTTCGTATCTACCAGGATGGCACAAAGGTAAAAAACCAAGTGTTGGTAAGGACGCAAAGAGCCCGAAAGCCTCTTCTACTGCTGCTGGGGATGTAAACTGATGCAGCCACTGTGGGAACCAGCTGGTGGTGCCTCAGGCAGTCAGACACAGAATGACCATCTGACCCAACAAGTACACTGCTTGGTGTATACACAAAGGAACTGAAACAAGGATTCAAACAAATACTTGTACAGGAATGTTTACAGTAGCACTATTCACAACAGTCAAAGGTGGAAACAATTCAAATATCCATCAAAACATAAACAAAATGCAGTATATCACACAATGGAGTATTACTTAGCATCAAAAAGGAAAGAACCACTGATAACATGCTACAAATTGGATGAACTATGAAAACATTGTGCAAAATAAATGAAGACAGACCCAAAAGGTCAGGTACTATATGATTACTTACATTTATCAGAAACATCTAGGATAGGTCAGTCCATAAATACACAGAAAACAGACTGGCGGGTGCTGGGGGCAAGGGAAAAGGGGGAGTAACTGCCTGATGGGTACGGGTCTTTAAGCATGCCTAAAAGGTTTCAGAATTAGACAGTTGATGGTTGCATAAAACTGCATCTATTAAATGCCACTGAATTGTACACTTTAAAATGGCTAATTTTTATGTTAATTTCATCTCAATAAAAAAGTTCTCAATGGTCATGGTTTTCTAAGGACAACATATTGCTTTCCCTGTTGAAAGATTAGTTTTACAAAATACATATTGTATGATTTTATTTATATGAAATTTTACAGAAGGTAAAAAGGAAGAGAAAGTAGATCAGTGGTGTCCTGGGGCCAGGGCTGGGGGTATTGCCTACTCAGGAGCAGGAGAAAACTTTCTGGAGTGACAGAAATGCTCTATAGCTTGACTATGGTGGTGGTGACAGGAGTGTTACACATCTGTCAAACTTGTCAAATCATACGCTTAAATTATGTGATATCTTAACAAAGCCCATTTTAAAAAACCAAGCCTTGATTACTAAAGACCAGCCTGGCATTTAATGCTAGTCTACTTCCCTGCTATTATCAGGATGAACTTGTGATGCTATTATGCAAAGCCATGCAGACATTATATATTTCATGTGGTCAAAAACAGAAGTCTTCAGTGCCCAGTGGTCTGAATACTAAAATAATGAATAAACATGGTTGCTTACCAAATCTGGAAGAGGACAAAGAGTTCCAGTGTTCATATACAACCCTTCAACTACAATGAAACGGCGAGTTACACGAGCCTTGCGAGGATTCTTTAAAAGAAAAAAATACTTATTAATGAGACTTATTAATATGAGGTTTGAGATTCTGTTATCTGAGATGAAGAACAGTGCTCTTTTCTCTGATTCTCCAACATGTTTTCCAGTTCTTACAATCAACTAGCTGGACACACACATACAATTTAGGCACTCTGACAATATTAAAACAAAAATTTCAAGCCCAGAATGATTGGGAAGGGGCTTAATGGAACTTTCTGGGAAGATAGGTATGTTTTAGGTCACAATGAGGGCATGATACCTGGGTTACACAGGTATAATCATTGGTCAAAACCATACAATAGGATTTGTGCATGTCAATCTATAATGATGATGTCAAGCATCATCACCCTAGAGATGGAGGGGAGTCAGGTAGAGGTTTGGATGTTACAGGAAAGGCAGAATGTTGGTAACAAGCTGGGAGAAGGGTAAGGGGCTTCATGATACTACTGTTTCCTTTCTCTTGGAAACATTCCACCACAAAATGTTGAAAACAGACAAATCTTCCTCATCTATCAAAAAATGGATGAAACCCTTTCCCTTCCTTCTTCCTCACTACTGGTCAAGCAGAATTGAACTGTGACCTCGCCCAGTGATGTGCAAAGGCAATGGGATGTGGAGGGGCTTCTTCAAGCAACACACCTTCTTACACCCCACTGATGCCAGTGAACCATTGCACACTGATGCATCTGTGGATGTTTCAGGTGTACTGTGCTGTTTTTAAAAAACAGAGATGCACACACAGGTTAAGAGTTTGCTGCCATCTTCCTCCTCAAAGGTTTCTTGACAGACGAAAAGCATCTGACTACAGGACTACATTCACTCAAATATCGGAGCTGTGCTTGCAGGGACACCCAGAACAGTGTGTGTGAAAGCACGCAGAACTACACGTCACTGAGGTCGTTCTGTGGTTTACACTAACCTGAATGCCAGGCGTCTGCTGAGAGTCCTGGGGGAGGACATGGGCATGTTGCCCCTCCCTGCCTTGCAAACATGAAGCATTTATTTGATTAAAAAATATTCAATAGTCATTTTGGGAAATGGAGAAGTACAAAAAAGAATTTAACCAATTAGCTCAATCATACCACACACTGGTAACTTCTGTCTTTTCAAAAATCTTTATAAATCACTTTGTTCAAATCAGGATTTTACCGTAATAGTTTTATGTCCTGAGTTTTGAAAATAATATATTGTAAGCATTTCCACATTATCTAACATTATTTAAAATATGATTTTAATATTCTACCTGTGGCTACACCATAAATTATTTACTCTTCCCGCCAATGCTGGATTTAGGTAGTTTCCCTCATTTGCTTCTTTACACTGCATTGTAAGTACACTTCAATCTCTGACTCCACTTCTGGCTATCTTCTAAAGACAGCACCCCACATACAGCTCCAAGGGTATGGCTATTTAGCAATCCTGGAAATATGGGCCCACTTACCCTCTAGACAGGGGGTCCAACTGAAACTCTGCTCAGTCACAGGAGGGCCCTTTGTTACATCACAAACAGCAGTGCTGGCACCGATTATCACTATGAAAAATGTTCCCCAACTGGACAGGCAAAAACTCCTAGCCTAATCGCTTTAATTATTAGGAGGCAGACTCTTTTTCACTTGCTAATAGTTTTCTGTATTCTTCTATGAATTTGTTTTTATCCTGTCCTTTTTTCTTTTTACTAGAAGAATTCTTTTTACTATGAAAACACTGCTGTAAAAGAAATGAAAAAACATCTATGAACCACAATATTTGGGAAATTTAAAAAATGTTTGACTGAAACCTGAACTAAACTGCAATATTTTAATTGACTTTCAAAGGAAGGATAAGCATCTAAGTAGAAAATATTCAAAAATGTAACATTCATTGTCTATATGAAAGTGAAATTGAAAAATAATTATTTCAAGAACCAAAATCTAAAGTTATTTAGAAAGTCTACTCTAGGCAGGAAAATGTGGTATAATTTAAGATGTAAAAAGGTAAATTACAGAATGGAAATATATTTCAAGTAATTTTATTTCTTGTTATTCATATTTTTATCATTCAAAAAAGTTCCATGGACAATAAATCTTGTAAAACACATATACACAAAACTTGAATATGATGTTTTCCAAATTTGAACTATTAATTTGGCAAAATAATTTCCACAGCAGACTGGTTCACTGGTCACACTTTCATGTCAGTGTTCTTCAATCTAGTAGCATTGTATTACTGATTCAGAGTAGAAAGAAATTCATCAGTGGAACAGTCTCAATAAGAAATTCCCTATTGAGTTTTCTAAATCATGTAACTACGTTAACACTGGCCTATATAGCATGTCTAGCATAAAATTGTGAGAGACTATGCATATTCATCATGAGAACGTAGATATTCATGAAGTGCTGCTCTTAGGCTGTCACCTAAACAAACATGGCAGACTCCTAAAGAACGATGCAAATATCTGGAAAAATGTAAATTAACACAAAATTAAGGAATATAGTGAGCATTTTTATCAATTACTAATGAATGAGTTGTACTGGCAAAGTCCACTTGAAAGTTATGTTTGAGATAAAAGATGTGGTGACCAGGTTCCCACTGCATGCCCGCATAGTGGTTCCTGCTGCAGAACCACAGACCAGAACCACCTTTTCCATCCATGGTGTTAGGAGGAAATCACTGACAATTCCAACAGGTTTTGAACACCCGCTAAGGGTCTCTGCAGGTGCTGGGAAGAAGTGTAAACAGGCTGCAAAAAAGAAGGAAACTGTTGGGGCGGTTGTTTCCCACAGGCAGCAGCTAGCTGCTCAGAGCTCCAGGACTAAGGTGGAGGAGGGGAGAAAGGTCTCACTTTGTTCATAAATTCATAAGTTAAGATCTGCTGCCATTGTTTCTCTTCCAGCCAACTGATACATGATTTAGTCTGATATGAATCAGCCTAGTTTGAATTCACCAGTTGCATCTCATTAACAACTAACAAGTTGCATTATTGCTGCACAGCTGAGTGCACACATCCCCCACTCCTGAAGTGCACTCTCTCTCTCTCCTTTAAAAAGCTGCCTGAATTACCTCCCCCAAATTTGCCATATATAATTATGTCAACAACCAAGCAATTATAATGAGACTTGGCTCGCTAACACAAAGTACATTAATAAGCAGGAATGCCCTCACTTAACATCCAAATGTGACCCTCAGGCAAGTCTTCATGACAAATTACCATTTCATATATAATTTGGCTAGTTAGAAAGTACAAAGGGACTATATAATTTTCTTCAAAAGAATCATACCTTTTGATCTTCAATTTCTTGTTCTTTTAGTAGTCGCTCCAGGTCAGCCATATCATTATGCTTAAACAACTTAATGTCACTACGTGATGCCTGTAATCCTTTCTGAATAGCAAAGCAGGCTGCTTTATCTCTGCAAGGAAGACAGACCCACCAATTTTGGGTTTAAAGGACCTTGTCAATATTCTCAGGAAAGGAATGTTTGCTTATGTAAGGTGACCAACATCCACTTGTTAACTTGAACACAGAAAATAAGAAGACATGCCTGCACATTTATGCATCATTGTTTGTGCTTCCCTCAGCAAGTCCTTTTCACATAAATGCCAAGCTGATTCTACCTCAAGAAGCACTCTTGCCATTCCTCTAGAAATCAAGGGTGGCATATCAATTTATGTGCATTCTTTCTTTCTGACAAGCCCATGGAACACCGGTGTATGCCACCACCAGTGGCACCTCTGACGTGGTTGCCATTACTTTGCCATGAGAAGCAATACTGGATTTGCTGACTTTCCATAACCAGGGGAGAATGCTGGCTCTTGCAGACTAAACTTCAATAAGATATAAATTGAGTTAACTAGGGGGAAATATTTTTTAAATTTAAGTTCTATTATTTAAAAGTATATACAGGACTAAAACCAAGCCTTGATTACTAAAGACCAGCCTGGCATTTAATGCTAGTCTACTTCCCTGCTATTATCAGGATGAACTTGTGATGCTATTATGCAAAGCCATGCAGACATTATATATTTCATGTGGTCAAAAACAGAAGTCTTCAGTGCCCAGTGGTCTGAATACTAAAATAATGAATAAACATGGTTGCTTACCAAATCTGGAAGAGGACAAAGAGTTCCAGTGTTCATATACAACCCTTCAACTACAATGAAACGGCGAGTTACACGAGCCTTGCGAGGATTCTTTAAAAGAAAAAAATACTTATTAATGAGACTTATTAATATGAGGTTTGAGATTCTGTTATCTGAGATGAAGAACAGTGCTCTTTTCTCTGATTCTCCAACATGTTTTCCAGTTCTTACAATCAACTAGCTGGACACACACATACAATTTAGGCACTCTGACAATATTAAAACAAAAATTTCAAGCCCAGAATGATTGGGAAGGGGCTTAATGGAACTTTCTGGGAAGATAGGTATGTTTTAGGTCACAATGAGGGCATGATACCTGGGTTACACAGGTATAATCATTGGTCAAAACCATACAATAGGATTTGTGCATGTCAATCTATAATGATGATGTCAAGCATCATCACCCTAGAGATGGAGGGGAGTCAGGTAGAGGTTTGGATGTTACAGGAAAGGCAGAATGTTGGTAACAAGCTGGGAGAAGGGTAAGGGGCTTCATGATACTACTGTTTCCTTTCTCTTGGAAACATTCCACCACAAAATGTTGAAAACAGACAAATCTTCCTCATCTATCAAAAAATGGATGAAACCCTTTCCCTTCCTTCTTCCTCACTACTGGTCAAGCAGAATTGAACTGTGACCTCGCCCAGTGATGTGCAAAGGCAATGGGATGTGGAGGGGCTTCTTCAAGCAACACACCTTCTTACACCCCACTGATGCCAGTGAACCATTGCACACTGATGCATCTGTGGATGTTTCAGGTGTACTGTGCTGTTTTTAAAAAACAGAGATGCACACACAGGTTAAGAGTTTGCTGCCATCTTCCTCCTCAAAGGTTTCTTGACAGACGAAAAGCATCTGACTACAGGACTACATTCACTCAAATATCGGAGCTGTGCTTGCAGGGACACCCAGAACAGTGTGTGTGAAAGCACGCAGAACTACACGTTACTGAGGTCGTTCTGTGGTTTACACTAACCTGAATGCCAGGCGTCTGCTGAGAGTCCTGGGGGAGGACATGGGCATGTTGCCCCTCCCTGCCTTGCAAACATGAAGCATTTATTTGATTAAAAAATATTCAATAGTCATTTTGGGAAATGGAGAAGTACAAAAAAGAATTTAACCAATTAGCTCAATCATACCACACACTGGTAACTTCTGTCTTTTCAAAAATCTTTATAAATCACTTTGTTCAAATCAGGATTTTACCGTAATAGTTTTATGTCCTGAGTTTTGAAAATAATATATTGTAAGCATTTCCACATTATCTAACATTATTTAAAATATGATTTTAATATTCTACCTGTGGCTACACCATAAATTATTTACTCTTCCCGCCAATGCTGGATTTAGGTAGTTTCCCTCATTTGCTTCTTTACACTGCATTGTAAGTACACTTCAATCTCTGACTCCACTTCTGGCTATCTTCTAAAGACAGCACCCCACATACAGCTCCAAGGGTATGGCTATTTAGCAATCCTGGAAATATGGGCCCACTTACCCTCTAGACAGGGGGTCCAACTGAAACTCTGCTCAGTCACAGGAGGGCCCTTTGTTACATCACAAACAGCAGTGCTGGCACCGATTATCACTATGAAAAATGTTCCCCAACTGGACAGGCAAAAACTCCTAGCCTAATCGCTTTAATTATTAGGAGGCAGACTCTTTTTCACTTGCTAATAGTTTTCTGTATTCTTCTATGAATTTGTTTTTATCCTGTCCTTTTTTCTTTTTACTAGAAGAATTCTTTTTACTATGAAAACACTGCTGTAAAAGAAATGAAAAAACATCTATGAACCACAATATTTGGGAAATTTAAAAAATGTTTGACTGAAACCTGAACTAAACTGCAATATTTTAATTGACTTTCAAAGGAAGGATAAGCATCTAAGTAGAAAATATTCAAAAATGTAACATTCATTGTCTATATGAAAGTGAAATTGAAAAATAATTATTTCAAGAACCAAAATCTAAAGTTATTTAGAAAGTCTACTCTAGGCAGGAAAATGTGGTATAATTTAAGATGTAAAAAGGTAAATTACAGAATGGAAATATATTTCAAGTAATTTTATTTCTTGTTATTCATATTTTTATCATTCAAAAAAGTTCCATGGACAATAAATCTTGTAAAACACATATACACAAAACTTGAATATGATGTTTTCCAAATTTGAACTATTAATTTGGCAAAATAATTTCCACAGCAGACTGGTTCACTGGTCACACTTTCATGTCAGTGTTCTTCAATCTAGTAGCATTGTATTACTGATTCAGAGTAGAAAGAAATTCATCAGTGGAACAGTCTCAATAAGAAATTCCCTATTGAGTTTTCTAAATCATGTAACTACGTTAACACTGGCCTATATAGCATGTCTAGCATAAAATTGTGAGAGACTATGCATATTCATCATGAGAACGTAGATATTCATGAAGTGCTGCTCTTAGGCTGTCACCTAAACAAACATGGCAGACTCCTAAAGAACGATGCAAATATCTGGAAAAATGTAAATTAACACAAAATTAAGGAATATAGTGAGCATTTTTATCAATTACTAATGAATGAGTTGTACTGGCAAAGTCCACTTGAAAGTTATGTTTGAGATAAAAGATGTGGTGACCAGGTTCCCACTGCATGCCCGCATAGTGGTTCCTGCTGCAGAACCACAGACCAGAACCACCTTTTCCATCCATGGTGTTAGGAGGAAATCACTGACAATTCCAACAGGTTTTGAACACCCGCTAAGGGTCTCTGCAGGTGCTGGGAAGAAGTGTAAACAGGCTGCAAAAAAGAAGGAAACTGTTGGGGCGGTTGTTTCCCACAGGCAGCAGCTAGCTGCTCAGAGCTCCAGGACTAAGGTGGAGGAGGGGAGAAAGGTCTCACTTTGTTCATAAATTCATAAGTTAAGATCTGCTGCCATTGTTTCTCTTCCAGCCAACTGATACATGATTTAGTCTGTTATGAATCAGCCTAGTTTGAATTCACCAGTTGCATCTCATTAACAACTAACAAGTTGCATTATTGCTGCACAGCTGAGTGCACACATCCCCCACTCCTGAAGTGCACTCTCTCTCTCTCCTTTAAAAAGCTGCCTGAATTACCTCCCCCAAATTTGCCATATATAATTATGTCAACAACCAAGCAATTATAATGAGACTTGGCTCGCTAACACAAAGTACATTAATAAGCAGGAATGCCCTCACTTAACATCCAAATGTGACCCTCAGGCAAGTCTTCATGACAAATTACCATTTCATATATAATTTGGCTAGTTAGAAAGTACAAAGGGACTATATAATTTTCTTCAAAAGAATCATACCTTTTGATCTTCAATTTCTTGTTCTTTTAGTAGTCGCTCCAGGTCAGCCATATCATTATGCTTAAACAACTTAATGTCACTACGTGATGCCTGTAATCCTTTCTGAATAGCAAAGCAGGCTGCTTTATCTCTGCAAGGAAGACAGACCCACCAATTTTGGGTTTAAAGGACCTTGTCAATATTCTCAGGAAAGGAATGTTTGCTTATGTAAGGTGACCAACATCCACTTGTTAACTTGAACACAGAAAATAAGAAGACATGCCTGCACATTTATGCATCATTGTTTGTGCTTCCCTCAGCAAGTCCTTTTCACATAAATGCCAAGCTGATTCTACCTCAAGAAGCACTCTTGCCATTCCTCTAGAAATCAAGGGTGGCATATCAATTTATGTGCATTCTTTCTTTCTGACAAGCCCATGGAACACCGGTGTATGCCACCACCAGTGGCACCTCTGACGTGGTTGCCATTACTTTGCCATGAGAAGCAATACTGGATTTGCTGACTTTCCATAACCAGGGGAGAATGCTGGCTCTTGCAGACTAAACTTCAATAAGATATAAATTGAGTTAACTAGGGGGAAATATTTTTTAAATTTAAGTTCTATTATTTAAAAGTATATACAGGACTTCTGCAAAGATGCAGAAGACATTTATACCTATTTGTCTCACTCAGTACAACCCCAAACCCTGGACATTATATGAAAAGCATGTAATGACTGACAAGAGGAAAGGCAGACCAGTTAGGGAGTGAGGGACCTGACAAATGACAGGAGTTTCCTGGGCTTTCCCTACTTGGAGCTGATGAAGTTGGTCAACTGGGAACACCACAGACAAAAACACTCTAATAGAAGCCTGTTCTCTGTAGCCAAAGGGACAGAAAAGGGGGTAGCCCAGCAGACAACAGCTCTATTGCAGCCAACCCACAGAAAAACCTGGGCCCAAGCCCTCTACACCAGCAAAGGCTGAGGGGGAGACTCTGAAACTCAAGAGGTACCGCAATACCTTTAGGGGTAGTGTTGGAGAAACAGCTAGGACTTTTATCCCCACCAGATGGAAACAAGTGGCCCCCACTGTGGTGTCAGTGAAGAGCATACGGAGGGCCCCAACTCCCCTCCCCTGCACTGAGGGGCACCCTGCCTCTCTCCACCTGGGCTGTATCAGGGGCAGCTCAGGGGAGAGTAGGACTCTCACCAACATCCTCAGAAATGAAAACACCCCAACTCGGTGTCAGTGGAGGCCGAGTGGTGACCCTAGACTTGTACCAATGAAGCAGTAGTGCTTGCCTGCCCCTAATGGAAGACTATCAGAGAAGGTCAACTAGAACAGGCTTAAATTAAGCATAAATGACAGTAGAATAGGAACATTTCAATCAAATATCACTTGTCATACCAACAACCAAAAGATATAAAGAATGAAAGAAAACGATGAGCAAATGTCAATATAGAGATGACAGCTATGTCAGGGTTATGGTAATGATTTTAGAGCATTCATTATGTCTGAAATAATGGAAATTCATAGGATGCTGCACATGAAATTCAGTGAGCAATTATGAACATGCATGAAACAAACAGAAAGGCAGAAAGCCCCAGCAAAGAAATAGAGGATACAAAGAAGAATTCTATGGAGATGTCAGAACTAGAAGACAAAATAACCAAAGAAAACATGTACTGGATGGGCTCTGCAGCAGAATGGAAGAGACAGAGGAAAGAATCATGAGCTGAAGGCCGTAACAACAGAAGCTTGTCTATGTAAACCAGAGAAAACAGACCAGAAAGAAAAGACGAGCCCCAGGGATCCATGGGACAATAACAGATGCCACACTGGCTTCAGTGGAGTTCCAAAGACAAGAGGGAGGGCTAAAAAGTCATTCAAACAAATGGTTCAGACCCTCACAAATTTGGCAAGAGGCTTAAATTTGTAAAGAGCTGAGCAAAACTCATACAGGTAAATTAAAAAATCCAAACAAACATGCCAAACCATTAATCAAGCTTCTGAAAACTAATGACTAAGAAAAAATCCAGAATGTAGCCCAAGAAATATGACATCTTACATAAATGAGAAGAACAATTTCAGTGACAGACTTCTTCTCAGAATCCATGGAGACCACAAAAAAGTGTCATATATTTCAAATGCTAAGGAAAAAAGAACTGTATACCAAGAACCCTATAACCAGCAAAAATATCCTTTAGTGTGAAGGGAAATCAAGCCATTCTGTGGTAAAAGGAAACTAAGCATCTGTTCCCAACAGACCCAATTTAAAGGAATGGCTAAGAAGTTTTCTATGTAGAAAAATAAAGAAAGAGACACACAGAAAAATTACCATGAGATGCAGTGCATGCCAAGAAGCACAGTGACCTCGACAGGTAGTGTGAGTGACCGTGTGGACTGTGCCCATGGACTCACAAGGACACCACATGACACAGGTATGGCAGAAGGAAGCAGGCCTTCTCCTGGGTAAATTTGGCCTTCTCAACATTAATGAATAAAATCGTAACGGCAAAAGAGACTAGAAAAAGAAGAATGAAGCCCAAAGTCAGTAGAAGGGGGACATAATAAAGATTAGAACATAAATAAATAAAAGAGATGAATAAAATAATAGAAAAACAAATTAATGAAAGGAGCTGGTTCTTTGAGGAAAAAAAAAAAAGATAAACCGCTAGCCAGACTTACCAAGAAAAGGGAGTATACACACACAATCAGAAACAAAGATGGAATAATAACAACGGATAGGACAGACACACAAATTATTAGAGAATACTATAAAAATGTATATGCCAATAAATTGGACAATCTAGAAGAAATGGACAACTTTTGAGCAAAATAAAACTTTCCAAGACTGACCTGGGAAGAAACAGACAATCTGAACAGACCAAATTTCCAAGCAATGAAATCAAACTGGTGACCAAAGACAAAGGTGCACGTCCAGACAGGTTCACAGCTGAATTGTACTAAACATTTAAAGAGCTAATACCCATCCTTAAAGTATTCCAAAAAGTATAAGAGAAGGGAATTCTTTCAAACTATGAGGCCAGCATTACTCTAATAACAAAACCAGGGAAAGGCACCACAAAAAATGAAAATTACAGACCAACATCCCTGATGAATACAGATGCAAATATCCTCAACAAAATATTAGCAAACCAAATTAAAAAATACACCAAAAACATCATTGATCATGATCAAGCGGGATTCATCTCAGGGATGCAAGGATGGTAAAACATTAGAAAATCCATCAATATCATCCACCACACCAACAAAAAGGATAGAAAGAGGCTCAAGATGGCAGCATGAGTAGGGTGGCGGAAATCTCCTCCCAAACCCATATGTATTTTTGATAATACAACAAATACAACTACACCTAAAAGAGAGACCAGAAGATACAGTACAGCTCCAGGCTACATCTACATCTGTGAGAACTCAGCATCTCACAAAAAGGGTAAGATAAAAAGTCCCGACCCAGTGGGAACCGAGCACTCCCCCGACCCCAGCTCACTGGCAAGAGGAAAGGAATCAGAGTGGGAAGGGAGTGGAAGCACAGGGCTGCTAAATAACCAGCCCTAGTAATCTGGGAGCACAGACACACATTGTATGGTGTACTGGATATTAGAGAAATGGAAAAGTAAAATCCGAGATGAAGACTGCAAGCAGGTACCCACAGCCGGCTCCACTTGTACAAAGGAAAAGCGGGTGCTTTCTGAAAGTCTTAAAGGGACAGAGGCTTCACAGCTGGACGGAATCATCCTGGCATACTCAGCCCACCAGGATGGGAATCCTAAGGAACTTCAGGTGCTCCAATCTTGTGGCGGATAACCCAGTCCCGAAACCCCTCACAACAATAAGCAGACTGTCATTCATTCCCCCCCCACTGGCACTGCAAGCAAACTGGATGACCTGCCACAGCGGCGCAGCAGCAGGAGAGGAGCTCCGCCGACAGCAACCACAAAGAGTCTCCTCCCAGCACACAGCTAACCAGGAAAGACCCACAGACTGCCACCAGCGCATAGCTGCCTGGCACAGACAGAGGAAGCCAGAGTAAGGCATGGAGGGGTACTGTTCATGAAGGAGAACACACCCAGCATGCCTGCCACTCCCACAGGGCTTTGGGCTATACTGAGGGCTGCCCCACCCACGGCACCACAGGAGAGTGTCCCAGAGGCTGCTCCCAGTGTGCGGGTAGCCAACACAGGCAGCAGAGAAGGGCAAGGCAACCAGTAAGCAGGAACGGACACTGTTCTCCCAGCTGACATACGTACTACCTGCCTACGACAACTTCTATTGCCATGAAAAGGCAGAAGAATTGGGTCCACTCAAGAATCAGTCAGACAACCCCACAGAGAGGCCCTGGACAGATAGATAAAGCCAATCCTCCTGAAAAAGAATTCAAAATAAAGGTCATGACCACGCTGACGGACCTGCAGAGAAATACGCAAGAGCTAAGGGATGAAGTCCGGAGGGAGATTACAGAAATGAAACAATCTCTGGAAGGACTTAAGAGCAGAATGGATGGGGTACAAGAGACTGTCAATGGAATAGAAATCAGAGAACAGGAATACAGAGAAGTTGAGCCAGAGAGAGATAAAAGGATCTCCAGGAATGAAAGAATATTCAGAGAACTGTATGACCAATCCAAACAGAAGAATATTCACGTTATAGGGGTACCAGGAGAAGAAGAGAGAGAAAACGGGATAGAAAGTGTCTTTAAAGAAATAATTGCTGAAAACTTCCCCAAGCAGGGGGAGGAAATAAGTCTCTCAGACCATGAAAGCCCACAGATGTCTGAACACAAGGGACCCAAGGAGGACAACACCAAGACATACAATAATTAAAATGGTAAAGATCAAGGATATTAAAAGCAGTCAGAGAGAGAAAAAAGATCTACAAAGGAAAACCCATTAGACTACTGTCAGACTTCTCAGCAGAAACCTAACAGGCAAGAAGAGAATGGCATGATATATTTAAGGCAATAAAACAGAAGGGCCTTGAATGAAGAACACTATATCCAGCATGACTTATCATTTCAATATGAAGGAGGCATTAAACTATGCCCAAACCAGCAAAAGCTTAGGGAATTTGCCTCCTACAAATCACATCGACAGGATATTTTACAGGGAATGCTCTAGAAGGAAGCAC